AGAGGTTGTCTCTCTGGGGAAGGAACGTTTGGGATGAGAAGTAAGTGATGAGGGACCCCTCTTAGGACCATTCGAAGAGCTTTCCAGGCACAAAGTACAAAGACCTGGGATCAGGAATAAACATGGCACCTTTGAGAAACAGAAATAAGCCAGAGTGCCAGAAGCCAAGTGAGTAGGGTGAGGGTGCCTGGAATTGTGAAAATGCTGATCAGTTTACCCTAAGGTCTACGGGAAGCTAAGCAGGGATTGAAGCAGGGAGTTACCATATTCTGGATGTTATTTTAAATGATCAGGCTAGCTTCTGGGTAGTAACAGGATTGGAGAGGAAGGCATGAGCAGAGGAGGCCCACTTAGGAGGCTTGCAAATGGGCAGGTGATGATGATGGGGACTGGACAAAGGTGGCACTGGGGATGAAGACAGAGGACAAGACAGGTCCAGCTGGATTTGTTAAAGGACTACTTGTGGGGTGATGGAAAGAGACGACTCAATAACACCTAAGTTTGAATCTAATCACAGTAAACAAGAATGTGCCCCAGGGAACATCAGCGGTCCCTCTGCGTGGGATTAAGGAGAAAAGAGGAGGAGCCCTGACAAGTCCAATAAACTCAACCAGCTGGAAGACAGCTCAGTGGGTGTATCCTTGACCTAGCACCATGGGAGGAGAAAGATGTTTGGAATGTGGTTTTTTTTTTTTTTTTTGTGGGAGTGAGGAAGGAATTTCTTAGGAGGCAGGATGGTCTGCAGGTTGGGTCTAGTTCAAAAGTGATTTCAGAGGGATTGATGGTTCAGACATATAAATCCGTTTAAATGACCTAAAATGGAATGGTAGATGGCATGTTAGGGTAATAGCTGTAGTAAATAACCCCCAAATCTCAGTGGCTTAACACAACAAAGGGCATTACACTACCAAGTTGTAGTTCAATGGGGGACAGAGGGGTGACTCTGCTCCACTTATTCACTCAAGGCCCCTGCACTCTCCACCATGTGGTATGCCACCCTCTATACATGGCCTCAGAAACCATCACAGAGTGGAAGGAAGAATGCAGGATGTATAGGAGATCTTATATGAGTCTCACCTCGTAATGACACACATTTCTTCTGCCTTCATTCCCGTGTTCAGAACTCAGTCCCATGGCATCCATTTAACTGCAAGGAAGCTGGGACGTTCACATTTAGTAGGTCATATGCCCAGGAGAGACACATACGTATTGGTGAGCATTGGTGATCTCTGCTACAGATAGAGAGAGTGGTTGTCTGTCTTTTAGGGGATGCAAGGGTGTCTGTCCTGGTTGGGAGGGGCATGTGCTCTCTGAAAACACATGGAAAGGAAGCTGATATGAGAAGAAGTGCACACTTGTGTGCTTTGCAGCCCTCATCCTTCATTCTTTCCCATTCTCATGGCCTTTCTCCAACAAGATCTTAATTATCCCACACCTTGCCACTGAAAACAACAGTCTTGGGAAGGATTTCTCCTCAACAAGTTCCTTTTCCCATCAAATCTAATTTGAATGCCACAGTCTAATTATCATCTGAAGACATAGCTTATCTCAGGTTCCCCCTGTTCAATAATGACAATAAACAATTTTGGCGACATTAATAATTTGCTGAATTACCATGTTGAATGCCTTAGCTGCAGTATCTCAGTATATCTCAATGATTACGACACGCCTGTGAAGTGTCAGCATTCCTTTTAGACCAGAGAATTCAAGCTGTGCTGTCTCACATGGTAGCCACTTAGCCAAATGTGCTTTTTAAATTAAAATTCATCAAAATTAAATATAAGGAAAAGATTCAGCTCCACTATCACACTATCCACATATCCAAGCACTCAGTAGCCAAATGTGACTAGTGGCTACCATTGTGCAGAGCACAGATATACACCATTTCCTTTGTGACAGTTCTGTTGGGTAACTCCTTAGGGGATACTGCCCAGGGTAACACTGTAAATGGTGAAGCTGGGACTTGGACTCTATTTGAGTCTGAAGCTCTTTAATAGCTCCTTACTGTTTCCACAATTATTAAAAGATAAAAAAAAAATTTCAGCCTGGTTCTGACCTTCTTGTATAACCTGAGCCTGTTACATAATTATTTCTCGTTATTTTCTTGCACAATCTCATTTCAGCAGCGCTTGCTCACCACCCTCCGATACTCATATACTCATAATATTTTTGCTCTCCTCCTTTCAGTCCTCCTTCCAAACAAGTTAATGAATTCCTACCTGAACTTTAGGTTCAACTAGCTTAAATATCTCTGGAATCTGTTTCCTTTTTTCTATTTTCACTGCCACTGCCTGAACCAACTCTTGCCATGGCTGCCTTCTGTTGCACTTTCTTGTTTTCCTCGAGTACCTAAAGTGTGCTGGGCAGATTACTAAGTGCCAACTCCTCATGACACTTCGAAGTACCTTTTACTGCTCTCCCTGTTTTATAGACATAACTAATGCACTGGGAGGTGGAAAAGCAGCTGATCTCTCTGCTTCTAGTCTTTCAATCCTGGCCCCCATGGGGCAATGAACAGCCTCCTTAGCAGATGATGGAAGGCTCTGCATGTTCAGAGCCTTTCAAATCTCAAAACCCACCACTCTGCCCTCAAACCTGACAATCTAGCCGCAAATTAGTTACGGTTTCCAGAACCTGCCATGTTAGTTCTTTCCTCTGGGTCATCCTCACACACGCTTTTTCCACTGCCTAAAGTGTTGACCCTACTGGACAGCTCTGAGGCCATCTGTGGCAGTGTGCTCTGGACCACCAAGCTTTCTTCCTTCTCTTTTCCATCAGCAGCTCCTACAGGAGGGTGGAGGGCCGAGCTCACACATTGAAAGCACTTCTTGTTAATAAATGTACTCCAGCATTCAAGATTTAATAGGCAGGGCTGGAATTTGGATTAAACACACAAACACACACTATATGTGTATTTATGTATAATACATGTAAATATATTTATTGTATATATTAAAAAGAAGCTTCCAGATTATTCTGAACATTTTACATCACTTGTTTGTCAATTAAGCATGTCCTACTTAGGTTCCTTATGTATAATCCCCTTTATTGTTATTTGATTCTCACCTCCAGTCACTCACACTCATATATTCAACACGTGATTATTAGAGTTTTTATATGCCCCACACTCTTCTAGATGTTGGTGTGGATGGAACCAGTACCATCCATGTTCACGGTGTTTACACTCTAGAAGGGTGCAGTAGGCAGAACAACAGCCTCCCAAAATGTTCATGTCCTAATCCCTACAGAAACCTGTGAATATGTCACTTTACAGGGCAAATGGTTTTTTCTGAATGTGATGAAGTTAAGGATCTTGAGATGAGGAGATTGTCCTGGATTATTTTGGCCCTCAATTACAGATGTCCTTAGCAGGGAAAAGAAGTAGGAAGAGGGCCACAAGCCAAGCCCTGTGAGCAGCCCCTAGAAGCTGGAGAATGCAAGGAAACAGATTTTCCCCTAGAGCAAGGCAGCCCTGATGTCCCCTTGATTTTAGCCCAGAAAGACTCTTCTTTGGACTCATGACCTACATAAATGAAAGATAATAAATTTGGGTTGTTTTAAGCCACTCCGTTTGTGTGATTTGTTACAGCAGCAAAAGAAAAAGTACAAGGAGAATTGGTTCCTTAACTTGTGCAGGTGTGTGGTCACCCTGCGCGAAGGGATTCTGAGTGCGTGAGGGCTTTGGTTTTCCCAACCAGCCACCACCATGAAGTAGGGTGCACTCCTACTTCAAGTCAAGTGCACTTCAGAGGCTTGCTTCCGGGGTTGGTGGATGTTTGGTAGGGACTTGGGGGATGAGGGTTATGAGGATGAAAGGAAAGGGAACCATCAGGGAGGAGAGGGTGTTTGAGGTTGAAAGGTGACTTTTCTGTGTGGAACAATCTTCTGGGGTGTGCATAAAGTCTGAGGGAATATGTGAATATCACAATGACACTCCTCTGCACAATTATTATTTTTTTTATTTTTCTTTTATTATTCATATGTGCATACAAGGCTTGGTTCATTTCTCCCCCCTGCCCCCACCCCCTCCCTTACCACCCACTCCGCCCCTCCCTCTCCCCCCCACCCCCCTCAATACCCCGCAGAAACTATTTTGCCCTTATCTCTAATTTTGTTGTAGAGAGAGTATAAGCCATAATAGGAAGGAACAAGGGTTTTTGCTGGTTGAGATAAGGATAGCTATACAGGGCATTGACTCACATTAATTTCCTGTTCCTCTGCACAATTAACTTATGCTAATAAAATAAGAGAAAAGAAAGTCTGAGGGGAGGAGACTTGGTTGATAGGGGATTGAACCCAGGGACTCAAATATACTAAATCCAGTTCTATCACTGAGCCACACCCTCAGCCCTTTTTTATATATTAACTTAACTTTATTTATTTACTTCTTTTCTGTGGTACTGAAGTTTGAACTCAGGCCCTCATACTTGCTAGGCAGGAATCTGCCAGTTGAGCCACTCTCACAGCCCTTTTAGTGGTGGTTATTTTTGAGATAGGGTATTGCTTTTATGCCCAGGCCTGCCTGGACCGGTCTAGATCGAGATCCTCCAAGTTGTGCTAGGATGACAGGAGCACTGCCACCTTGCCCAGCTATTGGTTGAGTTGGGGGAGGGGAGTATCTCACACTTTCAGCCCGGGCTGGCCTCGAACCGCGATCCTCCGGACCTCTGCCTCCCAAGTAGCTAGGATTGCAGTCATAAACCACCCGCACCTAGCTTAAATCTTACATTTTAAAGGAGAGTGCACTTCCTGTTGAAAGATAAAATTTTAAATTTGAAAAGTAATCACTGCAGCGGGCTTGTATAAAGTAATGCGCTGGACCCGCCAAGGCCCACCTATCCTGACCCGATAGATGAGTGAGTCTGGGGACACAGAGCCCAGAACCTGCAGATCTGTCAGGCATCCCCCAAGCAACCGGGCTGCCTGGCAAAGCTGGGGCGGCCTCCGGCCGGGGAGGGCGCTGTACCGGCGACGCCGGGGGCGGGCCGGGGGCGGAGCGGGCGGTGCCAGTGCTCTGGCTCGGCTGGGGCTCCGGGTCCCGCTCCGCTCGGGCCCTGCACCTGTGACTCTCGGCCGCGCTCGCCCTCAGCCCTCCTGGCGCGGCCACCCCATGGCCCCGTCCCGGCTGCAGCTCGGCCTCCGCGCCGCCTACTCCGGCATCAGCTCGGTGGCAGGCTTCTCCATCTTCTTCGTCTGGACGGTGTTCTACCGACAGCCGGGGACTGCATCTATGGGGGGTCTGGCAGGTATGGCGGGACGTGCAGGGGGCGCGGGGCGCGACTCGGGCGGGGCGGGCGCTGTCGGGGGCTGCGCGCGGCTCCTCGCGGTGGCGCTGTCCCCGGGAGCTGGAGGGTGTTTATCCCAACCAAAACCGGGCGGCAGCGCAGGCCCAGTGCGGGCCCGGGCTCTTGGCCACTCCCGGGCCTCCGGGACCCGATGCCTCTGAGTCCCGCACGATCCGGGGTGCCGCCCGCTTGCCCCAGCCGCGCTGCCGGGGTTATCTGGTCCCCGCACCCTGCCTGTCCCACTCCACCCAGTGGCCACTCCAGCATCCTCTGCGCGTCCTCTTCACTGGCCACCCCTTATCCCCTAACACACACTTGTTCTGGGGGATGCCTTCGCCTCAAGTGTCCATATAATAAGTAGGAAAGAAAGAGGACTTGGTGTGGGGGGGAGGCGGGGACGGTTCGTGGGAAACCCTACTTACCTCCTAGTGTGGATCCCCGTCCCCAGCTGCCCTCAGCCGAAACCAGGAGGACTGTATAGGAGTCTGCTGTTAACTGGACATTTGCTTCTCGCCCACGTTCGGTGCCTCTTTGCCATCCTCTGCTGTGGCTTCATGCTGAGGGCTCCTAAATCCCCATTGGACCCCACCCCCATCAGTGCGCTGGCGGAGGCCCCTATGCGAAACACTGCTCTGTACTTGTGCAACTTCGGACACCTGTCTTAATTTCTCTGTGCCATAGAACTAGTGTGAAGATGAAAAATTCTGTTGGTACTGGTCTTTTTTGTTTTTTAATGCTTTGTTTGTGTCAGGCAATTATTTCAATTTAATCCTTTTATTCTAGGAAGTAGATATTATTACCCACTTTTAAAGTAAAAAAATTAAGGCTTAGATTAAGTAAATAGTTGTTCAGGGTTACAGCTGCTACATCAAATAATATATATGGGGAAAGAACTTTGGGGAAAAGTACATGTAAAGATACTTTTACATATGACGATTTTATTCCATTACTAAAATCCTCTGACAAAAGATCCTTAAATGGAATAACTAAAAATAACTAATTCACTCAGTGCCAGTGAGCGCACAGAACCCCATCCTTGGTTAGAGAAGGAACTCCAGGTGGGGTTCCCTGGCTTCTAAGAAGGTATACATGGCCCCACCCTAAGCAATGCCAAGCCAGACACTGGGGCCTGACTGGGAAGTTGTCAGGCCTGTCCAGATGCCCCACCACCTGTGGGCTCCTGTCCCTCCTGGGACAGCCAGCTCTCTCTAGTCAGTTATTCACAGCCCTGGCTTCTTTCTCCCTACACTATCCCCCACCACCACACACACTTCCTATTGGTGCTGCCAGGGCCCATGGTTGCTGAGACCTGAGATAAAAGGGATGGGTAGTTGAGAGAAGGGAGGACATCCCTAGGGTGGGCATGCAAAAAGCCTGGCCCAGGGGAAGTGGAGATGAGCCTATGACCTTGGGCATGTCAGTGCCTCCTGGGCCTCAGTTTCCTCATGTGAAAGGAGTGGGACTTCTCCCACTGAAATGCATAGGGGACCCCCCTCCAGGGCTGAGATGTTGAATGTCCACTCTTTGATGTCTCCAGATGCCTATTAGAGGGCGGTGGAACAGCTCTGGCTTGTACTCCAGGGAGTCCCCAGGCCCTCCCTCTGACCCCCACCTTGCCCTGTCTCTCCTCACAGTCCTGGATGGGCCTGAGGCAGGCCATCTGTGGAGCTGCCTTCAGGGACGGGAGCCTGGGCAGCAGCCAGCTTGAGCAGGGTCTCCAGTCTCCCTGGTGGTTCATCTGACCTTTGACAACCAGAGGTGGTGGTGGAAGAGCCAAAGCAAAACTGATTGGATGGAGGGGGTGAGGGGCAGGGGTTGCCAGGCCAGGGTCATGTACCTTCCCCATCCAGCGTGGGTTTCCAGGGGTCTGCAGCCAGCCAGTCTTCTTCCTCTTTTGGGGTGAAATGTCAGCGGATTTCTGACATGTGAGCACTCCACTTCTGACTTGGCATTTTGGAGCCCAGAAGCTGCTGAGTCACTGAAGGTCAGCCCCAGTGGACTCTGCCCCTGTGTTGGGCCAGGTGGGCCAGTGGTGCGTGATGACTTCTAGGGCAGGGTGAGAAATGGAGCCTCTAGGCCCAGTGGGCAGGCACTCAGGGTGGGGACACACTCTCCCATCTTGGTGGGAATCTGGGAGAAGTGGCTTTGCAGAAAGGCAGTGGCAGTAGAAAGGCTGGATTTCCTGGGGAGGCCATGTTGGACTCCTTCTCCCCACTGTGGGAACCCTGAGGAAACCTAGACTCTTCCTCTAGGTCTAGTAGACCAAGGAAAAAGAAAAAGAGTACAATTGCTGCATAAGTCTAAACAGTGCCATGTTCAAGTCACTTGAGCTGTGAGCAGGAGGGTCCCTGTCTCTCTTCCCAGGCAGGGGAAAAGGCTGGGGTGCATATACAGAGAGGCTCTGACCCAGGTCACATCCTATGTGTCTGCATTTAACCCTGTGATCTCTATCCAGCCCCGCTGCTAGGGATACTTTCGCTGACCGATGCTATGGGCCTCCTGGCCAGATGGATCCCTGTTCCTTGAAGTAAGTGGAGTGGAGCCAGGAAGAGGTCTGGCACAGGCTGCAGCCAGGTGGGGCTGGGGACCTGTTCATACTGCCCAGTTTGTGCAGATCAGGCTCCCTGGAGCCCCAGAGTATCCTAGGGAAGGGACGGGTAGGGAGGGGCAATTTCCTCCAGCCAGAGCTGTGGGAGAGGACCATGAAGAAGTGCCCCAGTGACCACTTGAGGGACGGACTTGTGGGAGAGCTCTCTTTCCCAGGAGTGTGGGAGAGTCAGAATGGATGGGAAGGGGCCTCCAGACTTGGCTGTGTTTATCTGGAGGAGGTCCATATGCAAGGCCTGGAACGGGGTTTGAGGGGACATGACAGGTGTGCAAAGTTGTACCTGTGTATTAACATAGAACAGGACTTGACACCCAAAATAGCTGTCTTCCTTTTCCTCCTGCTCTTCACTCTTTTGGCGTATGTGTGGGTAGGAATTTGGGGGCACCACTGGGTCATGGCCAGTGGTCTGAACTGGCATCCTCATGGGTTCTTGTTTCAACATTTCCTAAACCAGAAATTGCTGAGTCACAGAGGAATTGCTCTGACCTCCTCATTTTTCTCCTTAGCTGGCTTCCAGAATCTTCAAGTGGGAAAGGATCTTAGAACTCATCTACTCCAACCCCCACATGACATGAGGAGAGAGGGCAAATGGACCTGTCCTGGACAGGTGCCACTGTGACTGTTCCCTGAATGAGCTCAGTGACAAGCCCCATCCCTAGGGTCCTTTAAGAAACCAAGAAGGACTCTGGGGTTGTGGCTCAGTAACAAAACAAATACTAAAACATGTTCCAAGCCTCAGGTTCAACCCTCTGCACTCCCCCATCAAATTAAACAGCTCCCCCAAATGAAAACTTATAGGATGCACAAGGAAGAGTGGGAAAGACTTCTGGGAAGGTGTCTGGCATAAAATCCAGATCATGGAGGACGAAACAGAAGCTGTGGATTATTATTCTGTCCAGCTCTGGTCTGCTCCAGTGTCCGGCCTAGGCAGGGACAGAGACACACTTGTCCTGGCTCACCCTCATTTCAGGAGTGGAGGGACCCCAAACCCCAAGGATGGTTGAGGGTGGGCAGAGGCTGAGCTGAGAGAGGGGGCTGTCAAACAGGGGATGCCTAGAGGTTGGTGGGACTCTGCCCTCACAGGATGGAGCCCTGTGCCTCTCAATTATCTATTCTGGAAGGATCTCAAGGCTCCCCCATTTTTAGATGCACAGCAGTGCTGGATTCCACGTTTCCTGGCTTGCACTCTCCTAGGTTTTTGTCCCTCAGCAGACTATGACAGATGAGCCGGTCACTAAGTCACAGCTCCATAATAACTAGCTTCCTTCTGCTTTGTTTCCCCCGCTAACTTAAAAATACTATGAAACATTTCGGGCATGTAAAAAAGAATAGACAATTTAATGAAAGCCCTACACTCCCCATTCAGGCCTAAGAAATAAAACGTATTAGATTCCCTCCAAGCCATCAACTTTCCTTCTCTTTCTCTTGCCAGCAATGATCACTTTCCCAGCCAGATGTCCATCCTGCCTGTACATTTAAAAGGCTACTGTGCATGTGGTCTTTGTAGCAGCCTTTTAGAAAGTTCTGCCTCCTAGGATGCAGCAGCCTATAGGGCCCACACCCCACATCCAGCAGCTAAGAACTTGCAGCTGCCTCTCTGCCTCTTCATTCCTCCCTTGCCGGGACCTCATGGCTCTTGCCAGGGGATTGGTATTTTTTCCACTCTTCAGGCTGTGCCAGTAGGCACTGCCTGGCACTGAGGGTTGTATTGTGTTCTGTTGTGTTAGCTGAGAGCAGCTGGCATCCTAGGGAAGTGCCCACCCAGGCCCAGCAGAGCAGACCCAGGAAAACCTCTAGGGTGTCAGCCTGCCTTTTGCTGCAAACTGGAGGGAAGGTATGAGGCCTAGCTAAGAGCTGGAAGCTCACTTGGTGCTGGGTGGCCCTGGGGACCTTGTGGCTGGGCTTCCTCATGCTGAAGACCAGTGCAGAGTGTGGGAAGAGCCCTGCTGCCCAAAAGGTTGGCTATTGACCCCAAGACTTAGAAGGTATGGTCCCTGAAGGCCAGGTGGGGGCACGGGTGGGGGTGGGGGGGACACTGCTTTCCCACCTCTGTGGTCCTTGGGGTAGGGAGTGGGAAGTGTCCAGAAAACATGCTGGACTGCCAAGGTCCTCAAATTTTTCTGGTTTCGGGACTTCTACATGCAAAACTCTTGAATTTTACGTGAGTTCCATTGATAAATACCATATTAGAAATGAAAACCGGAACATTTTTAAGCTTTAAATATAATTTAAAGTCGTATTAAAAATACATTTTTCTAAAAGATACTCATGTTTTCCAAAACAAAAACCAAAATTAGGGAGAAGAATGGCATAGCTTTATATTTTCACAAATCTCTTTAATGTCTGGCTTTCTGGAAGGCAGCTACAATTTCATGTGCTTCTGCATTCAAGTCGTGATATCCCAGTTCAGGGAAGACTGCACTCCACAGTCACGATGACAGAATGACAGATAAGGGCCAGTCTCCTCAGTATTATTATGCAAATAGGTCAGGCCTTCTGGACCTGAAGGCCCCTGGGATCCCTGGTCACTGGGGTGCAGGTAGGATGAGGCGGAGAGGGGGCCTGCAGCACTGTGGGCAGGTGGAAGGGTCCTGCTGACCGAGTCTGTCCCTGCAGGTGTGCTGGCGCTGTGGGTCCTGGTGACGCATGTGATGTATATGCAGGATTACTGGAGGACCTGGCTCAAGGGGCTGCGTGGCTTCTTCTTCGTGGGAGTCTCTTCTCAGCCGTCTCCATTGCTGCCTTCTGCACCTTCCTCGTGTTGGCCATCACACGGCATCAGAGTGAGCGTCGGGGAAGGACAGTTGGGAGGGCTTGAGAGCAATCCCCGGGGCTCTATCCTGGTTCTACAGCTTATGTCCAAGGGACTGCAGAGATCACTTGACATATCTGGGTTTTTTTGTTTTTGTTATTTTTGCAGATGGGGGCAGTACTGGGTTTGAAATCAGGGCCTCATGTTCAGACATCTATTACTCGAGCCACTCCGCCAGCCCCCACATTTTACTTGGCATCTCTGGGCATGGGGTTTCTTACTGCTAAAATGGGGAGAATTAGTTCCCACCCCCCGGGAATGGCAGGAATCAATGAGACTGGCCTGGAGTGTTGGACATAGTGTGCGGCCCATGTAAACACCTCCTAGACTGAGTTATTGGTACCATTTAGCTTGTGCCCGGTTCTGGGAGGGTGGCACCCTCTGGTGGTTGTGATAGGAAGTACCTAGAGACCTTTACTCCGCCCCTGGGTGGTCTGATGCTAAAGCAGGGATACACTCCTCACCAAGGCAGAGTGGATGATACAGACTTGTCTTGGCCAGTCCTGACCTTCCCTCTGCAAACCCTGGGATACTCTAAAATCTCTAACATGCTCTAGTCTATAGGACTGACTCAAAGGCCCTGGAGAGAGAGAGAGAGAGAGAGAGAGAGAGAGAGAGAGAGAGAGAGAGAGTGTGTGTGTGTGTGTGTGTGTGTGTGTGTGTGTATGGGGGGGAGGTTGTAGGGATACTGTGTTGGGAGGGTGGCCATGGCCTTTTGGCCTGCTGCTTGGCCAAAGGTGGCCTCGAGTCATTGGACTCCTCTTCCTGACAGGCCTCATGGACCCTACCAGCTACTACCTCTCCTGTGTCTGGAGTTTCATTTCCTTCAAGTGGGCCTTTCTTCTCAGCCTCTATGCCCACCGCTACAGGGCTGACTTTGCCGACATCAGCATCCTCAGTGATTTCTGACCTAGGGAGTGAGGTCACTGCAGCCTTGGGAGCCATCAGGACCTGGAGGGTGCTCAGGACTTGGACTCAGCCTTTGAGACATTGAGTGGGCCTGCCCCATGCCCTGGGGACCCCAGAAGATACTCTGCAGGATAAGTACCGTTTCCCAGGAAGCTGTCTGTCCTCTTTGGGCAGACCTGGTGTGGTGAAAGGGAGATCTGACAAGCAGCTTATCAGCCTGGCTGGAAGGTGGCTTATACCTTTGCAAATGGATCTATCAGCACTCGGGTGAAGAATCTTTGTAAAAAGGACCAGGGCAATTAAGTGGTCAAGGCGTAGGACTCTGAGGTTTTGACCTATTCCTTGTAGCAGGGAGCAGGATCAGGTTTGGTCCCTGCTGCCCCATGTCCTCTTGTTGAGGCTGGGGTGGGAACTTGAGGTGGTCAGATCAAGTGAAGAATCTAGCAAAGACCTCTCAGACCTACCCCATCACCCCCATCCTGTTGTCCCCACGGGTCAGGTAGCTGAAGTCATTGATCCTAGGGAAGTGACATTTGGCTCTTTCCCCAGGGCAAGGGAGTTGAGTGGTGTGTTCAGTGTCCTCCCACCCTTCCAGTCATACCTGGTCTTCCATGAGTGTGTTCGAGCCAGACACCATTCCTCTTTCTCTCTGTGTCACATTTGAACACATGTTCACACACACACACACACACACACACACACACACAGATCAAGACTCCAAATAAGACCATGGGGAATGTGATCCTGTCCCCAGAAGGGGTTTGGGAAAGGAACAACACAGCAGAGGCTGAAGTGAGCCCCACACCTGTACTCACCCACTCCAGCCCTGCATTTCCACCTGCCCCTCAATGCACCAGACCACCCCTGGCCATGAGACACCTTTTCCCCCATGCTAGTCCCTACTCACTGCCTTCAACTAGAGCTTTTATCTTTTTTAATCTCCCTTGTGAAAGACAGCCTCTGCTTTTCTGCCCATACACTGGCCCAAGGGCTCACCTAACTTGGGAGAGAAGGGGTTTTGTCACACGAATCTTTTTACTTTAGGTTGCCATTTTGCACGTCTCCTTTTCCACCTGTGTCCTGCCTCCAGCTCTTTGCCTTATCTGTGTCACTGTCAGTTTAGTAGAAATACAGCAGCCATTTGTATCATACAGCCTCAGGTTGTTTCTTCGGGGGTAGAATCTTGGGAATGGTGTGGCAGGTAGGGGATAGTGGTGGTGGTAGTTCTCTAACAATGTGATTAAATGACTTCCCTAAATTATACCCTGGAGGGCAGACTGGGGTCAGTGTATTGGGTCATGGCGCCCTCTCACTCTGATCACTTTTGGCATGGGGGAACCTACCAGCCTAGCACTCCTGTCTTCTCCCAGCTCTGCCCATCAAGAGTTAGGATGCCCAGAGGCACAGCCCCGGCAGCCCCTGTGGGATTTAGTGTTCACCCCCAAGACCAGGCCAGATGGGAAAAAGGCAAGTATCTCTTCCTCCATCCCTGCCAGGTTGCTCAGGGCTTGGAGCCAGGTCTATGGGAACAAGGCTAGAAAAGCCTGGCAGACTCAGAACCAGAAAGGCAGGCACTGGTAGTGCTGGCACCTCACTCTGCTTATGCTGGATGAGCTTGCCCCAGCCTGTTGCCTCGCCCATTCTCTTGTCCTGCCTCAGTCTATGCTTAAAAAGTCACAGCGCATTAGAGCAGGAAGGAACCAAAAATAAATGTCTACTTCTGGAGTCTTTTACTGATAAACAGAGGCCCCAGGAGACTGTATGACTTAACTGAGCTCTCAGCTGGGACTTAAGCCCAGGTGTGTCTGCTTCACGACCCTTTAGGCTACGTAGTGAGCTGGGCTAAACTAGTGAGCTGGGTCTGAACACGTCTGCTCCCCTACATAACCCTCCCCTCCCCCCAACCACCAAGCCCTCTGTCTGAGGGCCCAGCCCACAACTGCCTCCTTTCTCACTCCAAGAGGGCAGGTGGAGGCAGTGAGGGTGTATTCACAGCAGTGGCCACAGGAGGGCAGGGGCTAGAGGGGCTGAGCCTAGCCCAGCCTTGGCATCTCTTGGCCCAAATCCACACATTGTGTGGTATAGCTATGTGTCGTGTGCCTAACCCACCAGACACTTTCACAGGGACATTAAAGCAAATAAAACATTTATTGTTCAGATTTTTTTCCATTTTTTTCTTTTTTACAAAAACATGCATACATACACAAGGTATGGTGGGTTCCAGGGAAGACACACACACACACACTCACACGCTCACATACACACAAATACTCTCCTTCTTGGCCCCAGGCCTGTACCCCAAAAGCCTTGAAGACTTTGTCGGGGCTGCCTCCCCTCCCCCACATCTGTGTCTACTCTTCCACCTTCTTCCCCTTAGCCAAGCTAGTCCTACATGGGGCAGGAGTCAGAGCTAGGGTGGGGGAAACCCCAGAAATAGAAGATTCATGGAGAGGGCAGTGACCAGGGATCCCTGGGGATCATGTTGTGCTTCTGAGGGGAGATGAAGGTTTGGCACCATTGGGTCAGGAAGTACAGGACTCAGGGAGCACCTGTCTACTCCACCAGGGCACTGAGATAATTCATGTAGGGTGACCTCTGGCAGGGCAGTTACCAGATGGGATGCCTACGGGTGACTGCTCTCACAGTGACAGTGTCTCAGAGCAGCTCTCAGAGCCCAGTGGTGTGGGGAAGCTTCCAGAGTTGTCTGAGGAAGCAGGTAAAAGGAAGGACTCCCCTGCATTCAGGCACAGGGGACCCCTTAGCTCCCTCTGCTCTCCCAGTCCACAGAACCCAGGAAGGGCCACCCTGGCTGAGGCCAAGTTCACATTTCTGCATGGAGCCTGAGGCTGTGTGCAAAGTCTAGGGTCTGCAGAGCCAAGAATAGTGGTTAAGGGTAAGCCCACCTGAGCCAGTCCTCCTCTGAGCAGTCCCGAGGGATGGAGGCCACATCTAGGGGCCTGGACACCAGAGGGGTAAATCTGTTCTGGAGAGAGTGAGCACTGCTGGCTCCTGGTGCCTAGCCAGCCTTCTCTCAGGGTCCTCTCTGGTCACCATCCCAAACCTAGGGGCCTTCTCAAGCTCCCTGGGTGACTGTCAAGGTAGGCTGTTCTCTGTCCCTGACCACCTGCCCATAGGATCTCTAAAGACCCAGGAACAGGGCTAGTAGCAGAGGTTAGGTGAGAGCTGTGTCCAAAGGGCAGGCTGATCCGTTCTGAAGCCTAGAGATTCATAGGTTCTTCCTCCTCCACCAGCTGCTCTGAAGGCCTAGGGGAGGGATAAAGGCAGCATGCTGGAAAGCCAGAGGCTGCAGGTAGGGCCTTAGCAGAGCTTTCCATGCAGTCCTGGTTAGGAAGCCTGAGAAGGCTGGTGTGACCACATGGGAGCTCTAAGGTCGCTGAGTTGGGAGAATCCAAGGGGCTGAGGGGGCCATGGGCACAAGCCAGAGTTCTGGCGTTACCTGTCTTCAGCCAGAATGCCCACAGAGAGGGATGCCAGTGCAGTCACAGCCTCTACTTCTGCATCGGCCCCTGGCCCCCTGGGCACCCAGGAGTCTGGACAGGAGGCCAAGCGCTGCATGCAGCCCCAGTATTTACCTAGGACAAGAAGCCAGGTCAGAAAGGTTGGAAAAAAACAAACCCTTTGACTCTGCATCCTGGACAGGATACTGAGGCTGGTGACTCAGGCCCAGAGTCCAAGAGTAGTGGACTTCTGGTCAGCTCCCTTGCCTGCCCCTCCCCTCAACAAAACACCCTGTCCCAGTTTGCTCCTCCCCTACAGCCCTGAATGCTGTGCAGAGCAGGTCTGATATAGATATGAGGGGCTTCCCAGCCTTTCTGCCATAGGCATGGGGATCCTGAGAGCACCAGAAAGGCCACTTGCTCCTACGCAAGGTCTGGGTCAAAATGACTCATACATTCCTGAGCCCTGGCCTCCTGGAGCACAAGGTCCCACTCATCCGCCCCCACAACATTCAGCCCAACCCCCACAGGAAAGGGACGTGTGAGCCAGGTGTGGCACACACCTCTAATGCCAGAACTCAGGCAGCTGAGGCAAGAGGGTCAAAAGGCAGAAGCCAGCTGGGTTGCATAGTGAGTATGAGGCCAGCCAGAGCAACATAGTGAGTCCCTGTCTCAAAAAGCAAACAACAACAAAAACAACTGGGGGTTTAGCTCGAGGGTAGACTGCTTGCCTAGCATGCACAGGCCTGGGTTCAATCCTCAGCACCATGAATGAATAAAGGAAGGGAGGGAGGGAGGGAGGGAGGGAGGGAAAGGGGAGTGGGTTGATGGCTGCTCTGCATGGCCATGCCTGGACTAGGGGAAACTACACCCCGCCAGCTGCTGTGAGAAATAATCATTTCTTCACACGATGAATGTGGGAGGGCTCCATAAAGAAGTCAGCCATGCCACATACACCTCCCAGACTAAGCCCTCGATATGGGGGATCGACTTTATTCATTTTCCTATCCCCAGCATAGATTATGGGTCTAGTTGAAAGCTGAAACTTTAAAGTGCCTTCCAAAGATGGTCTTATTCTAAGTCTGACCCCTCCCATTCCCCCACCCTCAAGCAGAATTCCCCAGCCCTTGTGACCAGCACTGAGGGGAGGGACACAAACCAGGCCTTTTGGCAAACAAGGCCTGACTATTGCTGTCAGCCTAGCCTCTACCTCAGTGCTGTGGCTAGAAATTGGGAGGCCAGTCTCAGCCTCGAGAAGGCCACTGATTTCTGGTCCCTGCTGGGTCTATCTAGAGAGCTCAGAGGTTACACTCATAGAGGCTGCCCATCATTACCACTGGGGTGACTCATGAGCACTCTGGCCTTGCTGGCACAAATGCCTGAGACTCTGGTCACTAGGGGTAGCGGGCACCTGAAGTTTTTCCCAGTTTGGGCCCAGCAGATGTCCTATCTGCACACTCACTGTGCACCCGGATCACGGCTTCCAGAGAGCGGATGGCATTGAGGTTGGGTTTCTGTTTCCAGCTTTCTTCTGAAAGAGGATCCACCTACAGAAATAATCATTAGCCAGCAGTTCCCCAGGAACTGGTGGGGGTCAATCCACCAGACCCCACAGATCCCCAAAAGGAACGCAAACCTCAAGGCACAAACAGGCATGAGCTGCTGGTTCTGCCAGGTCAGAAGACACTGGCCCAAGACCTGACCTGGGAAGGTGTCTGCTGTGCCCACTTTGTTCTATTCCCCATGTCATGTCCCACCACCTCCTGCCCCCATGTGCCTGTTCTTTGGGGGCTGGCCTGTAGGAGCCAGGCTTACCTGCCCCCATAGAAGCATGGATAGAGAGGCAGCTCACCTTGTTACCTAGAAGAGCAGCCACACAGGCCTCAGAGGCATCACAGATGGCTGTTAGGTCATGGCCACCTTCCAAGGCCAGCACCACTGCACCTCCTGCCAAGTTCATCAGCTGCTGTGTCATGTACCCAAAGCCTAGATGGTTGAGTGGGAAAAACATGAGGAGTTGGAGAGGAGGAAATGGACAAATTCCCTACCTCTGGTGTGTCCCTGCTTGCTTCTTCCTTATAAATAGTGACTCCCAGGCAAAGTGCTTTCACATTGGATTCCATGCAAGACACATCAGCATGCTTCATTCCAGGCTGACAGGTTAGGATCTTGCACAAGGCCCCATAGCCAGTAAGTAGCAGGGCTAGGACTTGAACCCAGGCATTGACTCCAGCCTGAGTCTTTTTCAGTAGGCCATCCTACCTCCTCTCTCTGTAGCCCAGTGGGCTGTGCAGGTAACCTCTTCTCTAGAGGAGCTGCCAGCTCAGCCTGGGGTAAGCACACTGGGGTGGCAAGTTCTACAGCTAAACTTCTGCCAGTTAGCCTAAGTCCCCAAAAGTCTGACCTGCTCACTTGTTTCCCTGCTGAACTGATTTGGTCCTCAGAAGAAGCCTGGGCTGTGCCAGGCTGGGGATTCCAGAGAATTCCAGGGCCCACTGCCACCTTCCCCTTTGGACTTGGCAGTGCCTTCCCATCCCCCACCCCCAGTCTGGCTCTCATTCCTGACACCTCCCCTTCAGCTGGAGCCCCCTTACATTTGGCAGAAACATGATAGCCACCCAACGGGGCAGGGTGACCCTCGGCCGCATCAAACCCAGCAGACACCAGGACCAGGTCGGGACAGAACTCTCGAGCGATGGGCATCACCACTATCCTGAGGTTGCAAGGAGAAAGGGGGTCATCACACTCAGCCCAGTACATGGTACAGGATGACCAGGGCAGAGGCCAAGGGTGCCTGTTAGTGCCAGCTCTCTCCTGCCAACTCTGCTGAGACAGCACCTGCTCTCAGGACTCCAAGATGCCCAATCTCTCAGCAAGATTAGCAGATCTTTCTGGCCTTGACCCTGGCTGGCTACCCATGGCACTGGCAAACCAGCATTAGGATTCAGCCACCCAAGAAACTTAACTAGTAAGAGGCAGAAAGGAGCTAAGCATGAGAATGAAAAAGGACCATGTGTGTGTGTGTGTGTGTGTGTGTGTGTGTGTGTGTGTGTGTGTGTGGCTGTGGGGCTGTGGGGCTGTGGGGCTGTGGGCATGGCCATAGGGAAGCTGCAATCTCATAGCTTCACTGAACTCTGTCTGGTCACTAAGTCTCAGATCAGAAACATTAGTTACTTTGGACTGAATTGACCATATTCCACTGCTCCTCACCTGAGATCTGACCAGACCAACTAGACCCTCTGAGGTCCTAGGCCACCAAGCTCCATTCCTTAATCCTCTTTTCCCCGCCAGCTCCCAAACCAACACTCTGGGGTCCATTCTCATGTCCCTCAAAGCGCAATGGGCACAGATGTCAGGAACGCCTGTCCAGGGCTCCTTCTGAATTCGTGGGGTTTTTTTGTTTTGTTTTGTTTTTTGCAGTACTGGGGCTTGAGCTCAGGGTCTTCACCTTAAGCCACTCCACCAGCTCAATCTTTTGTGATGGGGTTTTTCAAGATAGGGTTTCACAAACTATTTTCCTGGGCTGGCTTCAAACCACGATCCTACTGATCTCTGCCTCCTGAGTAGCTAGGATTACAGGCGTGAGTCACCGGCGGCGCCCAGCTCTGAATTCGCTGTTATGGAGACCATCTCCAGAAAAGGGTTTCCAGATCTAATTTCAGGATTCCCTTTTCTTAACTGAGTGCAGGGACTGGAGTGAAAGGGTAAGTGTTCCTGAACAAAGCCAGAAGCCCTTTCCGGAGTAGTTTTTGAAGTTACTCCCCCAAGGTGGACATCATTTAAGGACAAATGTCTCCTTTCTTTCTCCCTCCCTCCCTCCCTCCTTCCTTCCTTCTCTCTTTGGCAATACTAGGATTTAAACTGGACTTCCTGCTTACGAGGCAGACACTCTACCACCTGTGCCATGCCTCCAACTCTTTTTGCTCCAATTATTTTGGAAATAGGGTTTCGCTTTTTGAACAAGATGGCCTGACCATGTTCCTCCTATTGTATACTTCCTGCCATAGCTGGGACAACAGGTGTGCGCCACCATACACGGCCATTAAGATGTGGTTTTGTGAAGTTTTTTGCATGATCTGGCTTCAAATTGTGATCCTCCCCATCTCAGCCTCTCAAGTAGGTAGAATTATAGTTTTGAGTCATCCGCACCTGGCTACCTCTCTTGCTCAAAGCCTAGCTCTTTCAGGCAGCCTTCTATGACAAAATATGGCAGCTTTGCTCTCTCTTCCCTGCCATCACCAGTTGCTTCAACATTGGCTCTTGGTAATGGGTAACTTTAAAAAGCATCCTTTCAGTTTCTCATTCTTGTCTATGTCCTCCTTCCCACCAGGGCTGGCCTACACTGTCTAGTAATCAGTTCAAATCACCTTCAACCTGTTGTGTGGGGAAAAGGGGCAGAAGAGGGTGACCTTGCTGGGCCTGCCTCCTCTGGGCCCCCAGAACACTTACCTGAAGGCAGCCAGGTACTCAGGATCCCCCATGGGGGGATCTAAGCCCCCAGCCCAGGCCACATTGATGTTGAAACCCTCACCGTTGCCAGCTCCCACCTGGAAAACAGGATGCAAGAGAGACATGAGGAGAGCAGAACTCATCCAGCCTCTTCACTTCCAGAGGAGAAACTGAAGATCAGAGAGACTAAGCAACCTGCCAAGGATCACACAGCTCATTACAACAGGGCAAGGTGAGTACAATAGCAGTCGATGGGGCTGGCAGATGCAGACCCTACACGTGGTTACCTCATCCACAGCCCCACTGCCTGGAAAGAAGTTGCCATCGTCATGGCGATGCAGGGAAATGTAGAGCACACTGGGGTCCTGGTAGAAGGTTTGCTGCGTGCCGTTGCCATGGTGAACGTCCTGCACAGGGTGACGGGCAGTGGGTTAGGGAAGGTATCCAGAAGCAGAGATGGAGACCAGGACACACTGGAAGGGTTCAAGTCTGGTAATCATTCTGCGTGTCAGGACCCTAGACTGAGGCTCAGGAAACTAGGGTTCCTACAGCACTGCGGTTGAGTGACTCCCAGTGATCTACCGCTTGCCTCCGAACCTCATTTCCATACAGAAAGATACTGTGACCGCCACACCCACACCCTTCTGCATCTATGTCACATATCAATCCATCCTTCTCAATCCACCCTTCCTTCCTATCTATCTATCTATCAGCCCACCTTATTCACAGATTAATGATATGGTCAAAAAAATATATACAGCCTGAGCATTCATTTTTCCTCAATGGTGGTCTCCTTGGTACCATATACTGGTGGATACCAAGAGTCTACCATTTCTACCTGTTAGTTCTAGTCTAATCTAATCTATCATCTACCTGTCTATTTATGATAAATACAAGAAATGTGGTGGATAGGGGTGACTATAATATGAAATCCTGAAGGAGAGACAGCACCCCAATCTGTGTGGAGGTGAGCCAAGGCAGGTCAGTTCACATAAGAGAGTGTGTGGGAGTGGACTACTGGCAGGGACAGGGAGGGTCCAGGGTCACACATGTCAGGAGCCCTCCTACTGGGCTTTGTGTAACAAAGTCACGAAGTGATGCAAGTGGTCAGAAACTAAGCTTAGCTATGGAGGAGCAGGTACAGGAGGCCATCCCTCCAAGGAAAAACTGGGCCCTGCACTTGACTTGCAAGACCATGCATGGGTTCAAATGTGCAAAGCAGCGGACTGCTTTCAACTTCTGTTTAGAAATATCCCTTTCACAGTAGTCAGTGCAGAAGAGCCACAGCTCAGTAGTTAAATGCATATACTCTAGAGCTAACAGGCCTGGGTTCAAATCCTAGGAGATAAGTGACATTGCAAATTACTTAATCTTCCTGTGCACTTTCCCCATCTGTGAAATGGGCTACATCAGGATCAGATGTAAAACTGGTAAGCGTCTAGATGTGATTATGATATGCTGATGTCATGTACTAACTACTATTGTTATTGTCACTACATGTAGGGGAAATGCAGAGATTATTAAAGCTACCAAAAGAAGCAACAGAAAACATTCAAATGAGAACTCGTATCTACTATGGCTGAATGCCTTCCCACACACCATCTTCTCTGGGCCTCCCAACAGTTCTGTGCGTGCTAACTTTACCCAAATTTTGCACAAGGGAAACCTGAGGCTCAGAGAGGCTGATGGAGAACTGAGACATGTAGCCACATTTCTAATGCCAGCTCAGGGTCTTTCTGCAGGGTCCCATGATCTCAAGGTAGTAGGTGGCAGGACCTACCCAGTCTACAATGAGGATCTTGCTGGCCTTGCGTTGTTGTTGCAGCTGCCGGCAGGCAATGGCCACTGAGTTGAAGAAGCAGAAGCCCCTGGGAGCAGAAAGGGTCCTGCCAGCCCATTCCTTCTCCATGCTCCCACCTCTCCAGCACCCTCACCCTCCAACCCCAGAAGGCTTCTCAGCCTACAGGAAGGCTCTAGGGTCCTGCCATCCCCTCCCCACCCACCCTTACCCCCAGACCTTACATGGCCGTGGAATGATCTGCATGGTGTCCAGGGGGCCGCACCACAGCAAAACCATTCTGGAAAGGGAAAGAGCACTTACCAATCAGCTAGCCTGTTGACCACACCTGCATCAGCCTGCCTCCACCCTTCTGTGAGAAAGGGTACAAGGCAATAGCAGGTAGCATGACCAACAGGTAGCTGGAGCTGAAGTGGCCCAGGCCTTGGTCTCCATGCTGGGTTTTAGTCCAGCTTTTAGGCTGGACTTGAACACAAAACCCCTCTCTGGTGTGCCATGACTATAATCACTTAACAATAACAACTACTGATTTTACATTAAAAGCTACATGCATGCTTGTCCCTGTCCTGAGCACTTTATAAACGCTGGATTTCATCTTCACAACATCTCCACAGTACAAGCATTATTATCATGTCCAGTTTACAAATAAGGAGAAATCCAAAGCCTACATGAGTTAAGCAATTTGCAAGTTGCCTGGTTGTAAATAGTGGAACCAGAATTTTAAAACTGGTCCTATGCTCCTGATGGCAGAGTACTGCCAAGGACCTCTGACACTGAGGGCACTGTGCCTGGGATGTGTGGCTCAGGCAAGTTCCTGTTAGGTGCCTGCCTAAGCCGCAACTTACTCTGTAGCACCCCAGCCCTGGAAGGCCCATATAGGAGCTCTAGAGACAGTTGAGGCCAAACCTACAACCACACCGTGGGTCTTAAATGATCCTTCATAGTCAGAAACCTGTATCTCTAAGATACCAAAAGCCCAGGGTCCCACTGGCTTCACTAGCTGAGTAACAGGGGCCTAGCATTCAAACCTCACCCTGGTCCCCAGAGCCCTTGATTTCCCTTCCCAAACCTTGCAGCAACATCCACAAGAAACGTGAGTTCTAGAGTTAGGAGTCTGGACCCTATTGTCTGTGCCTCTTCTTTGATTTGCTTATCTTCAGCCCAAACCTCCTACCTTTAGCTCACGAGAAGCTACTTTGAAGGCAAGGTCGGTGACGCTACCAGCTGCCCAGCGTGCTGCGTTGGAGGAATGTAGCTCATTCCAGATGGTGTCAGTATCCACCTGTGGGGCCAGAGTCAGGGCCCGTATCATCCAAGGCTTCCCACAGGAGTCAGGGCCCAGTGGGGCGGTACCCACCCCACGGCCAGGACCCCAGGGGCAGGGAGCTGGGCAGACGGTGCTGCCTCCCCAGTGCCCCACCGCCCAAAGGCAAGGCCTCCTGTGTCTCCCAATCCCAGCAGGACTTCTCCTTCCCAGCGTAAGTCCCAGCACCAGCCCATTTATGGCCAGCACTCTGCTGGCAGCATCACGCCTGCCTCCCCGGTCAGGGGAGGGGGCATGGCGTTACCTGGGCGGGATTGGGGTTTGGGCCGGGAGGGGTTTTAAGCCCCAGCTGACTCTGCTCAGGCCCTGCGGGACGGTCGGAGCTGGAGGGGCCGTCTGCACCACTGTCTTCCACTCAGGGCCCCTAGCCCAGGCTGGGAGGCCCCCCAAACCCAGTCCCTGGGCCTCAAGGCTAGGGAGGGGCCGGGGGGCATGATGGGGAGATGGGGAGGGCGAGGCGAACCGAGAGAGGCGAGGAAGGCAGAGAGAGTCGCAAGAGGCTGGAGAAAGAGAGAGAGAGAGAGAAGGACAGAGAGGGAGAGGAGGGAGGAGAAAACAGAAGCAACAACAGTTGGAAAAATCAGAAAGTGGCAAGAAATGGGGAGTTGTGAACAGGGCACTGACTGGCTCCCAAACAGTCCCCTACTAGAGCTCCCAAGTTCCCTCCTGAACTCAGCCTCCATCCCATCTCTACACCCTTTGCTTGGCACCACTACAGGGACCTCCTGAGGCAGGGTGGACTATGCCAATGGCTGAGGAATGAGCAAAGCTGGGAGTCTGGAGGACCAAGTCCTGGGCAGGGAAGTCCTAGATCTCCAAGGACACTGGAAACCACCACAGCCCCACACCAGCCAGTCCAAGGTCTGGGGACCAGGCAGAAGCCACCTTGGGCACCTGAGAGGCCACTCCAAGCTAGGCAGGGCAGCATGGGGGGCTGGTGTGGAATGGCCAATACGCGATCATGGTGTTTTACAAAGGGAGATGACTCCAAGCCCCAATCTTTGGCCTGTTCTTTGAGCCTCATTCAACATTTGCCAAACACCTTCTAAGTGTGAGGCACTGGGCGCCACATTCGGGGGACACTGATGGGTCCAGGTACACTTGTCCATAAGGAGATTCCAGCCAGCAGAGGGGCATCACAGGAAAGTCCCTGGTCCACCCAATCTGGCATAACCACAAGAACAGGCAGGCAGGGGCTAGGCCTGTGTGAACTGAAGGGAGTGGCAATGACCACTGCAGACCCCTGGGCACACTTACCCCAACCCCGCCACAGGGCAGCATCACAAACATCCGCTGTTCCAGGAGCCCTGTGGGGAGAGGGCCAGCCCATGTGAGTGTGGAGGCTCTCAGAAGAGGACCAGGTAGGTGTGGAGGGAGAGAACATGGAGGTGGGAAGCAGAGGGAAGAGGACAGCAGGTTGGAGCAGGGTCGTCCAGGAAGGTAGAAGGGGCTGGCTGGCCAGGGCTGAGGCAAAAGAGTACAGAAGTGAGTGAGCTAAGTGAGTCTAGGGAGCATACAGGGTCAGGTACCATCTGTCCCTTACCTGCCAGCTTCCCATTGTCCAGTTTGAGGCGGCTGAGTGGGTTGGTGCCATAGAGAAGTGCGTGCCGCTCAGAGTGAACCAACTGTAGCTCCTCCAGGGAGGCCTTCCGGCCCCGGAGACACTGAGGAGGGGTCGATAAAGCTCCTGAGCCCTTGCTCACTCCTGCTCTTCCACTACCCCACCCCACCCCCTCTTATCTCTTGGTGGCCCCAGGGCCTTTCACTCCTTTCCTCCCTCCCCTTACCTCCGTGGGATCCCCCCACCCAAATTTCCACCTTTCCTCTCTACCTCACACTGGCTCCGGAGACCCCGCTCCTGCAACCGGGACCAGATGCTCTGGATACGGCCAGCATGCTCTGGATGCTTGCTGTTGTCTCCACAGGAGCACTGATGCTTCAGCATTACTGAGTCATAGATCAACCCTGCCAGGAGCACAGGTCATGACTGGGATCCCAGGGAGACCCCCACATGGGTACAGAGAACAGTTGGCACCCACACAAACCTACCTGTGGTCAGGCAGGGCACACAACCTCGTCTACACAGGTCTTCATTCCCCGTCCTGCCTGCTGCTGAACCCCAGCACTGTACTTCCTTACGCACATGCGGAGATGTGTGACAGCCTGACACACATGCCAACATGGCACCTGCCCATAAGGCTGCACATGAACCCTGCTTTCTCAAAAACACTTGTTGCTTATGTGACCCAGAACATCTCCTATGCGCTCGAGGGCTCAGAGCCTAAACATAGCAAGGCCCAACACCTGGCATCTCCCTCTGTGTGTCAAGAGCTCAGAGTTTACCAGTAGAGTGAGAGAAGGAACAATTCCAGGGAAACCCCGACACAGGGCTGGGAAGCTCACAATACCACTGAGCCATGGGATAAGACAAATACAGCCCTGCAGAAATTCAGGAAAAAAAAGTTCCTTGTCATTATACCCTAAACAATATGTAGATTTCATGACAACTATGTACATAGCATCTGCGTTGTATTAGATATTAAAAGTAATTAAAAAAAAAAAGTATACTGTGACCGAAAGGTATTTTCTGAGTTGGTGAGCTAACTATAGGAAGTTCTAACCACAGGAAGTTTTCCAGAATGGTGGCTTCCACAAAATGTGAGACATGCTCTATATATAAATGTGTTTTTGCTCCAAGGAGCATGGATAGTAGATTTAATTTCCAATCTGTTTTGTAGGGAAACTGAGCCATGTCTTTGCTCAACTCCAGCCTGCAGTTAGAGGTCTAAAGAAACTGCAAGGTGCATATAAATGCAATCAATCATGTTTTGAAGATTGGATAATATCAAAAAGAATTTTCAGACCTTACATAACCTAGCTGTTCAAGTTAACATACTGTCATTTTAAATTTTGCAATAAAACTTTTTAATGTGAAAAAATAAATAAATAAATAAATAAAATAAAAAAAAAGTAATCTAGAGGTGACTTGGAGTATGTGGGAAGATATGCATAGGCTATATGCAAATACCACATGAGCATCTATGGATTTTGGTATCCTGGTGGGGTCCTGGAACCAAGCCTCTGAGGTACAGAGGGGCTGTTTCATCTTGGCCCCAGGGGAAGCCTACAGAAGCAGAAGCTGCACACTGCTGGCAGGACAGTCAGTGTCTGCACATTTCAGGCACCAAGCACCTTCAAAATGCTCACCCCATTTGCCCCAGGAATGCAACTCCTTAAGAGGAATCCTTGTGGGGCTGGCCAAGTGGTTCAAGTATGAGGCCCTGGGTTCAAAACCCAGTACCACAAAAAAAAAAGTGACCCTTGGGAAATAACCCTAAGTATGAGTAAAGACTTATGCATAAGGAAGTTAAAATAGGAAAAATGAGTAATGATCTAAACATCCAACCAACAAGAAAGAAAATACCATGATGAGAATTTCAGCTCTAATTATATCAAGAAGTTTTCATAATATGCTAATTCAATAAAGCAGTGTATAGAGCCATGGTTGTGGATTAGTGGTAGAATACCTGCCTAGCATTAGTGAGACCCTGGGTTCAATCCCCAACACCACAAAAAAAGAACACAATAAACCAGTGCATAAAACATGACCAGTGTGTTTTTGGCATTTGTATAAGTGCATATGATTAGAACAAAGCCTGGGCTGAAATATAACAGAGCTTAAGAGAGTGACTTCTGGGCAATGGATACTGGTTGGTGGTTTTTATTGAATTCTTGCTTTTCTATATTTTTCAAAATTTCTGAAATACTTTTAAGCTCTTTTTATAAGCACAGCAACAGTAATAAATATTTTTTTTTAAAGGGCTGGACCTAGTGGCAAGAAACTCAAATACCTATCCTGGCCAGACTGCCAGCTTACTATCTGGACACAAACTTGTCACCATTTTTCTAGAGCCTTATTGTCCTCATCTGTAGAACGTTTGCTTATGAGTGCTGTGGGGATCCCATAATTCTAAAAAAAAAAGTGCTCTGCAACTTCTAAAACTGTCCTGAGTACCACCATGCACAGACATGGACACAGGCCCAAGCCCCTTCCCCCTGTATCCATTCTAGTACCAGTCTTACCTGTGGTAAAGGGCAGAGTCCTGGTGGGCGTCTCTGAGCTGGCGAGGACTCGGGTTTGGCAAGTAGGCTCTGCGGTTGGCAGTGAGGCAGGTGCAGCTGGAGAAGACTGAGTCCTGGACAAGAGCCGGTGTCCTCCTTGGGCCAGAGGAAGCAGCACAGAGTCCCCGGTGCCTCCACGGGGAAGCCGCCTGGCCAGCCGCAACACCTACAGGAAACAATGGTCTGTCTCTGGTTTCTCAGATCTGCTATAAGTGCTCCTGCCTCCAAGGCAATTCCTTTTTCTGGAGAGATTCCCAGATGCACCCAGCTTTGCTTCCTATATGGGCCCTGGTCTTTGACTCTCTGAGCCCCCTGTCTGCAGCAGACCCCTTGAAGACTTACACCCATACTGACCACTCAGTTCCCTTGGGTCCACTCTGACCAGGATCTCCTCATTTCCAAGGACTGTGCCCAAGGACACGGGAACCTGCATGAGCCACTATACATGTGTGGACTGTTACCACGTGTTACAGATGGAAGTGTGTTTCTCAAATTCATATGCTACTCCAATACTTCAGAAAGTGATCCTATCTGGAGATAGGATCTTTGCAAAGACAACCAAGCTACAAGGAGGTGATCAGGGCGGGCCTTAATCCAATAGGACTGTTTTCCTCAGAAAAAGAGGAAATTTAGACAAATGTGGTGGGATATGCCTATAATCCCAGCACTGGAGAGGCAGAGGCAGGAAGATCACAAGTTTGAGGCCCTGTCTCAAAAAAAAAAAGAGAAAATTTGAATACACACACAGACAAGACAGGGTGAAGATGATATGAATAGACACAGGGAGAAGACAGCTGTCTATAAGCCAAGGAGAGAGGCCTGGAACATTTCATTCCCTCACAGCCCTCATAAGGAACCCCCACCCCCCAACCCCCTACATTCAACACCTTGATTGCAGACTTCCAGCCTCCAGAGCTGCAAGATGGTAATTTTCTGTTATTCAAGGCACTGTGTCTATAGTACTTGTCTCAGCAGCCCTAGTAAACTAACACAGCATGGCTTGACTCCCACACCGTGAGTGCCACCGTGAAGTGCTGGCACTGTCCCACCTCTTGCCTCAGCCACCTATAGATATAGGCCAACTGGTCGCAGGGAGAAGTGTGAGAGCAGGAGTATGCATGGCAGGGAGAGGTAAGCCTCACACCTGGGAAAGGAAGATGGCTCCACCCCGAGGTGGCAGGTTGCTGGAGTGGACACATGCACAAGTGTGGACATGTGGGGGGCGGAGCTATGCCTGCACCACCTTGGGTGGTGTGGATACAGCACCCAAGGATCTGGCAGGGCAACCAGCCCTAGAGCAGCTTCCCACAATGATATCTTATCTCCCACCCTCCTCCACCTTATGCCAAGTCCTAGGTCTTCTGACTATACTTTCCGTGGGGTTCCTGGGCACAGCCATACCTGCTGGTGCTGCTGGAGAGAAACAGGGCCTCTGCCCTCAGGCTGTCCATAGCTCGGCTCCCTGTGTTCCAGGCTGTCATCCAACACCTGCCCTACTCCCCCGCCATCTACTTCTAGGTCCTCAGCAGAGGGAATCTGCTGCAGTCGGGGCTTCTCACTTGGCTTGGCTGGCCTCTGGGGAGGGGAGATACCTGGCTGAGAAGCCCAGGTGGAGAGGTGGGTGAGGTGGAGGTGATGGGCTGGGTGGAGTGGCCGCTCATCTTGCTAGGCCTCCATCAGCCATTTCCTCATCTTACCCTCCAGTCCTTGCCCTTCCTACTTCCCCCTTCTTCTTTCAGCCCCCAGGGGCCCAGCAAAGAACCCCTTTGCACCTCCCCTTCACAGTTCCCCTCACCTTGTTTAGCTGGCCGTGAGGTTTGAGCCACTCCGGGCGGGGCTGCAGGGAGCCCAGCAGTGAGGGGGTGGTGGCGCTGGGGGGCAAGGGCTCTGAGCAGGTCCGGCTCAGCGGCCAGTGGAGGCCTGACCCAGGGAGCCGCTCGGTGGTCAGTAAGGACTGGGCAAAGTGGAAGGGCAGGGGCCCAAGCCTGGGCACTGGAAAGAATGGGGTGGGGCATGAGGAAGGTGCCATGGGGTGTCATGGAAGGAAGCAAGGGCATGGAGTGGAGGCGGGGAGGTGCATATGACATAGGGCTGGAAAGATGGGTCCCTCCACAAGCTTGGCCCTTGGCAGAGTGTGGAATCCCAGCCCCTTCCTGAGAGAAGCATCAGGACTCACCAGTCAGCAGGGGGGTATGAGAGACGGAGGGATCCAGTAGGAGAATGGGTTGTAAGCGAGAGGACAAGGTGCCCCCAGCCTCTGGCTCCAGACCATGGTGCAGGAAGAGGGGAGTATGGGGGCTTCCCAGGACTGGACCCCGAGGGCCCAAAGTCGAATGGGTCCTGCGGTCACCATCAGCCTGAAGGAGAGGCAGGGAAAGTTAGGGAAGAAGATTCTGGCAGAGGACTGTGAAGGTGATGGGGTGAGGCAGTAGGACAAGGACATGAAAGAGACTGGAGGAGCTTGGAGTGGGGGAGAGGCGCCCCAGCCACTCACCCTGGCAGGGGCGGGCAACCCCAGCGTGATAGCGGGCAGCAAGGACACTGCTGGCAAGGCGAAGGGGGCCAGAGAAGTCTCCTGCAGCCACAGCCGCTGGCCCAAGAGCGCCTGCCATGAGGAGCAGGGTGACGGGTCACCGGTCCCAGACCTCTACCCCTGGCACGCTATACCCAGAATACCCAGGAGGCCCTGGTGGGGGCTGCCCAGACCCTGTGGCCCCAGGCCAGGCCAGGACACTTGCTGGGAAAAGCCTGAACCTCAGAACTGCCCCAGGAGAGCCCAGTGCTGGCAAGGCCTTACCTCGGAGCCCAGGACAGGGTTGGGGCCATGCTCGCTGTCATTAGGGGAGCTGCACCCTGATGCAGGCGTGCTGCTACTACTCGGGGAAGAGTCTGAGAGTTGGAGAGAAAGAGAGGTGCAGTCAGGGGCTGTACCAGGAGATACAGCCAGGCCCCTGTTGCAGGATTCCCAGGTGCAGCTCCTTCCCTCCTGGGCTTCCTGCTTTCTTCCTTGAAGAGCAGGAAGTCTGCAGACCACCACTAGCCTCCTTTTCTTGGCAAATGTTAGCTTAGCCAACTGAGCAGGAGCTGGATGATTTCAGCCCCAAATCACACAACCACACCACCCCCCCACACACCGGTGGGTGTACGGGATACACCCTATACAACATGCACGGTGGCACCAAGAGGGCATTCCTGTCTGAGATCTGACCATAACAGACATGACCAGTTATGGTGTCAGAGGGCGACCCCTGCCATGCTGGCACTCACCTCCAAGGGTCTCTGCAGGTCGCCGCCGGAGACTGGGCGGGGCACTCTCTTTGCGGAGCAGTGGATTCTTGCGCCGTTCCAGGGACTTCTTGGGCTTGTATCGCAGCTTCAGGTTGGGCTCAGACACTGTGGGGAGCCCCAGCGTGACTCAGGCTCCATGCCAGTCTCTCTTTTCTTTTCTGCCCTCTAGTCCCTCCCTCCCAGTGGGTTAAGGTGAGAGATGGCAGGGCCCAAGAAAAAAAACCACAGTGTGCTGACTGTTCAGGACCAGCACAGCCCAGCCCTCCCCTCATTCTGCACTCCTGACCCTGACTCAAATCAAAGACTCTGTGCCTAATCTCCCTGAGAGTCCCCACCTGTCTGTCCAGCTCACCTGTCTTACGCAGGGGGAAGTGTTCTGGGGGGTCACTGGGCAGGCTGGGAACAGGGGGCAGAAAGCTGCTGAGCATGGAGCGGGCAGCTCCTTCTGTGTCCAAGGACTCGAGGGTTCTGTGGAGTGAAGGTCAAGATTGATTCAGAGAGCTGGGATGTCTGAAGGCCTTCAGAAGCCTCACTCTGTGCAGGCACCTTCCTGAGCAGACCTGCCAAGGAGGCAGTAACAGGCAGGACTGGGCAGTGTGGGGCTGGCAAGAACAGAGGGGGCCATCTCCAGGTGGCAGCAGTGGGCCACCCCTGCTACCAGCAGCCACATGCAGGGCTCTGATCTAGGCATAGAAACCAAGATATGGGAGTTTGGGGCCCGTTAAGAATTGTCTATCTCCTGCAGTCAGAGCCTGATCTAGGAACTAGGATATTTTGTGCTTAGAGAAAGATAAGGAGAGAAGGGATTCTGTGTGCAAGAAGAAAGCCAGAGTGGTGTGTGCAAGCGTGTGTGTGTGTGTGTGTGTGTGTGTGTGCACACGTTGTGTGTAGGAAGGGCCTTAGGTGAGAGGGAGACAGAAGAGGTCAAATATCACTTGAGAGGAGCTTAGGGGGCTAAGCTTAGGGGGCTTAGACGAAGGTTAAGGTTCGGGAGATAGGTGCTGGGAAGGAAAGGAGGCCAGTATGCATGCACTCACAGGTTAATAATGTAAAGAGGAGGGGTACAGTGGGGACCCAAGGAACAGTGGGGACAGAGAGCAACCTGTAGGGAATGCTGGGGCTGCTGGGATGAACTGTTCTCTCCAGGGCTGCTGCCTGCTGTTTCTTCAGGATCACCTCAGCCAGCTTCTGTTTGACCACACTGCTGGCTACGGCACCTGCAGGGACAGAGAACCAGCAGTGGGCTATGAGTGGGTGACAGGTGGCCTCCTGGGCACATTCTCTGCTCATTGCCCTGTCCATACCTCCAGTATATAGTGCCCTAGGGACTCCTCAGACAAGAACCAAGCCTGAAGCCCCCACCCCTCCCTTGAAGCCTCTGGACACCCCCAGGCCTACTTCCCAGGCAAGCAGAGGGCATCCCAGCAGATGGTGACCCTCCCACTTCCCTCCTTCCAGGAGGCCTCATCCTTACTTCGCTTACTCTTGTCCTTATTGAGGAGCTGCCGTAACTCTTGCTCCTGCTGTCCCCCGTGCAGCTCGGGCATCGGGGGGTCCATGGAGACCTGTGGGCAGAGCCAGCAGCTCAGGAAGAGGCAGGCGTGGAGGACTGGAACTAGAATCTGGGGAAACTGAAGGGAAGGAGGGAGGTTGGGTACATGCGGGCAGCTCTATCTTTACCCTCATGGACTCGGCTGAGCGCTGCTGCTGCTGCTGCTGCTGCTGCTGTTGCTGCTGCTGCTGCTGCAGCCCTGCCAGGAAGAGGTGGCGGTGCAGTCGCTGGGGGTGCTGCAGAGCCAGCAGCGTGGGCTCTGGTGGGGGCTCCACTGCGGGCCTCTGGCCCACCCGCAGGTCCATGGGCTGGGGCTGAGGGCCTGGCACGTCTGCAAGAAGCTTGGGGCAGCCTGGGGATACAGAGAGAGGGCAGTCAGGTGGAAAGCTGGTCTGCAGGAACTTGCTCACAGCCTAATCAGCCTCATCAGGCTGACTCAACAACAGCAAAACACTCTCAAGGGGCCTTCGCCTCGCGTAATCCTGCCCAAGGTCCTGCAAGCAGGTCCTATCAATTCCATTATACCTGTGAAAAAAGGAGGTCATGAAATTGTACAGATATACTCCATCGCTTGTGACCTGAACTGAGCCAACTAACTGACCACGAGTATAGTGCCTTTCCCTCAGAAATATGCTCCTCCCCAGTCTTGGGGCTGAGGACAACAGGGTTTCTTGATGGACTACATCCTGGGCTACCCCCATCCTCTGGAATGAGGGGATGAACCGGGCTCACAGGTAGTGATCAGGCAGGCAAACAGACACACTCTGTTCAACCTCTAGCTGGCCCACCCGTGCTCTGTCCCACCCAGGTCCTGGGATTCAGAAGTGATACCCTGAGCCCACAAACAGCCCTGACTGGCTAGCCAGAGCCTACAGAACCATGTTCCCAGGGCAGTTTCCTCAGCTTACCAGGCCCACGTACTCATGGAGCCCACTCCCTGTTCTCCTCCCAGCCAGCTCTGGACCTGGCCTGGTGAGGACAGCAGGTTCAGTTGCCTCTTCTACAGTGTCCTCTGCACACGCACCAGGAGCACCCTGCCAAGGCCATGGGTGCTGGGGCTATTTATAGCTTGCTACCACACCAGGGGCCATGCCAGCACAGCCAGCTGGCCAGGCTGGGCTGAACAGCCAGGGACACTGAGAACCTGGGAGGTGGAGCTACTGAAGGGGATTATCCTGGAGAAGGGGAAGCTGGGGGTTGCAAGGGCAGGGAGGGGAGGCAGCGCTAGCTCCATGACAGGGTACACAGGTGGGGAAAGCTCTCAAGAGAGGCCTCCTTCAGGCATCCTCCAATGGCACAGCCATGGCTGTCCTCCTCTGGGTCTGGGACTGAGGGGATTGGCAAAACACCAGTCAGGAAGTCGGGAAATGCAGCCTCCAGGCCTAATGCAACAACTCCTAATTGTAATCTTAACACCTGTAGGGCATGTGCATGACAGTCTGCAAAACCCACTCACCTTGTAACCCCCACCTGCCCTGGGAGGTAGTTACTACTATGCCGTTATTCCAGATGAGGAAACTGAGGCTCAAAGGTGAAGGGGCTTGTCCAAGGTCACTCAGCAAGGAGCAGAGTAAGCATGGTGGATTCCAGTCCTGCTGAGACCAGTGCTCTGTTTTTCCACCAACTTTCAGGAAGTCACCTTCCTTAGAGGGGGTTTCTCACTCGGCAAAGGAAGAGGGGCTTCCAGTGGGTTGTCACCAGGGGGATCACTCCAACAATGTAAGATGGACACCATAATCCTCGATCTCAAGAGACCTGAGGGGATGGTTGGGCATCCAGATGCAGCCCCCAGAGATGGAATGCATGGAGCTTTCATGCTTTTGCCCTCCTTCATGTGGCCACCCAAGGAAACATTCTGGTTGAACCTGGGTCTCTAATGCCAACACAATCCTGGCCCATGGAAGTTCTCTGTCTTCCGTTCCTCTAGTATACTGGCTTCCTGGGGTGAATCCCCTGACGATACAGGGCTTAGGGAATCCAAGGTGAGCCACTAGACCCAAGGCCAGCAGCTTCAGCCATACACAGACTGGGAACAACCCCCTAACAGCAGGCCCATCCTTCACTCTCAGCACAGCCACCACCTCCAGAGATGCTGGGAACATACAAAGGGCTCTTCTGACTGTCAAGGTGATTTCGCATTTGGAGGAAGGAGATTCCACAATTTAGTTGTTACTTGGCTTCTCTCAACTTGTTCTCCTACATCTAAACACAAACCCATCACCTCAGTCATCATCTTCCACCCTATCACAAATCCATGTACCTTTCATCCTCTGAGCTTTGGCTCACAATGTCCCCTGCCAATGCTGCCCTCATCCCTACAGACTACTTTTTCAAATCCTACCTAATGGTAGCTCAAAGCCTAGCTAGAGTCCTCTGTCCTCCATGGATCAGGCCAGCACCCAAAAATCCCTTCCTTATGGACTTCATATTGCCTGCTTCCATAGCACAATAAGCATTCTGAGGACCATACCAAACCTGGTCATGTATACACATTTCCATAGACAGGGACTTGGTTTTGTCCATCACTTATTATCCCCAGGGCCTGGAATACTACCTGACACATGATAGACACTCAATAAACATGGAATCAATTAACAATATCCCTCCTAAAAAGTCTAGGAAGGTGCTCTGGCACAGAGACAGGGTTCATCAACGATTGTTGAATGAATGGATGAACTCATGAATCAGGATCCTCTCATTTTGCACTGGTCACATATTGCACCCTAACATTTTTTGTCCTTTACTTTATATGTCCTGTCTACCCAACCTGTCTGTCTCTCCAAGCTTCTGGACAGCTGGACTGAAGCAAGGACATTTGCCTTCCATTTCTTTCTGCCACATGGAATCTCTAAGTATCAAGCTAGGTCCACCTGGGCATCAGCTGGAGTTAAGGAAGGGGAAGCCTCAGGCCTCCAGCCCAGAAATAGTCTAATGGCAAAGTCCTAACCCTAAACGAAGCAGGAAGTTCACTTCAATCCTTCCCAAAGGCAATCCTTCCGCAAGGCAGACTAACAGCAGAGGACGTATGGGCCAGCAGGGAGGTCCAGGACAAACAATATCACCAAGGGGAGGGGGGCCCTTCCTCTCCCACTGGAGCAGCATGAGATGTCTTACCAGCCTGCAAAGGCTGTCATGTATAACCTGCAGGGCAGTGTGAGGACTGAATGAGTTAAAAACAAGAACACACCTCACCCAGTTTCTGCCATGGGGCAGGAGTCTGAGCATAAATATTAGCTTCCTCCCTTCCTTCCTGTTTCACTGAACCCAGCCAGGACTTTCCTTTTCCTGTTATGCTTCCTAGCACTGGGACCAGCCTGGATCCAGACATGCCTTTCTTATCTCTACCCCCTCTTCCCCCCTCCTCTTTCCCTGGAACCCCAACCTCCCAACTCTCTAGTCCAGTCAGCTCCCTGCTTCTCCAACCCTTCAGACCTTAACTTTCCTATGTCCCCCTTCCATCCTTCATCCTCCACCCTCCACCAGGATCTCCCTCAGGCCTGACTCTTACCTTTGTCAGGAAGACTTGGGCAGTGGGTACCCGGGCTCACCTGGGTCCCATCTGTAGAGAGAAGAGAAATGGAGTGAAGGGGCTGCAGATAGGGGACAGAGAAGGGGCAAGGGAAGAGAGAAGGCTACATCAGGTAGGCTCCCCTGCACTCCGTTGCTGGATGAGAGGGATCCCCAGCTCCCTCTTCCTCAGCTGAGGAAGTGACTCAAATACTCAGCTGCTTGGACGCAGTCCCCGACAAGAACCTAAGGAGGCCCCAGTGCCCTCAGCCCTCCCTGATGTGGTCAGATACAATCTTCCTTGGGCAGCCAAACCAGGCTCCGATAGCCCGAAGGGAAAGAAGCAGGCTGGGAGGTGAGGTGGGGCCAGAGGTGGGACTGTGGCTGGGAGGGCCTGGAGGGAGCTGGAGAGAGCAGGCCTGGAAAGGGGAGCTGGCTGCTCAGAGGCCTCCCAGGTGGGAGAGAAAGGAGCAGGAAGGAACACAGAGAGATTTCTGCCATGAGGAGGGACTGGGTAGGGCCTAGAGATCAGGTTAAGTCTGGTGGGAGTTTGTGAAGTCACCAAATCTGAAATACATAGCCTGAGGACACCATTATGAGAATCCCTTGCTTCCAACAGCCCCATTCTATGTCCCGCTGCCTCTGATGCCCAAGAAAAGAGAACTACTTAGTCACAAGCCTCTTTCTTGGATAACCTGAGCTAGAAGTCTTTCCCTTTACAAATGGCTACCTCTCTCAGGCTCCTAAATCCAGCTCTGGCCCTCTTCTCCAACTTCAGAACTCACAAAATTCTGTAGTAGGGCCCAGGGCTGGTCAGCAACAGAAAGACCCCAGGGATCATCATGGCAGGCTGGCAGGGAGAAGATGGAGGTGAGTTCTGAGGCCACCTGCTCAAGGTGGACACCTTTCTCTCCTGCCATCTGAGCTTAAGAGCCAAGGGACAGGAGCCAGGAAACTGGCAAACCACCTGGAGGGGGTACTTAGGGAAAGCAGAAGCTTCTCAGGCCAGATGTGGGGTAGAAGTAATATTTTCTGAAGGGCAAGTGGCAAGTGCTGTTCTCTAGGCCTGGGCTTCAAGATAGCTACAGGTCCTTTTTCAGAAGCTAAAAAGGGGCACAAGGGGACACAAGGGGACCCCCACAGATGACTCTCAAACACTAGTGGCTGTGCTTTGACTGACAAAGTTGGTGGGGACATTGTCACTCCACCTATTAATTCTGCTTATCCTTTGAGGTCAGCCCAAGCCCATCCTCTCATGAGGCTCACCCTGACTGCTCCTCTCCTCACCTTCCATGCACTGATTCTGTGTCCACCACCTCAACACGGCACAAATCATGGTCTCCTCAGTATCATTTGTCAGCTTTCCCCATCTGCACCTAACACCTGGCTGAGCACATGGCAGGCCCTGCTGGTAACTGGTGAACCAAACATAATGACCCCTGACCCCTGACCCCCTGCCTAAGACATGACTACTTCTCAAGATCTGTGAGCCCCAAGGAACATGTGTGCCAGACTCACCTCCCTAGGACATGGTGACCCTCACCCTGGGTGTCTGAAGAACTTTCTTCTGTGGGATCTGGTCCCTCAAGAGAGGCCCTGAATTATACCCAGCTGTACTCCCAGAGACCGGGTCATGCCTCAAGTCTCCTGCCTCTTGAGAATTCTCTCCCACCTCCTCTCAGTCCCTGCCCTAGGGCTGGTCAGCAGTCTTCATGCTTGGGAACAGAGCCAGGTCCTCTGTACCTTGTTCCTCTGATAACCACAGATTCTGGACACCATGCACTCTCTGGATAGGAGAGAAATTAATGACCTCGAACTCTGGAATGTTTGTTACCAGGCCCAAAGGGGATGTTTTATGGTGGTGATCTATGGCATACATTGTTCAGAAGAGCTGCATGCATGCATGCATCTGTGTCAGCAAAGGGGCTGCTTCCAAAAGAACTCTCTAGAAAAGCTTGCTTCTCCTTCTCCTCCCTGGCTCTGTGCTGAGGGCCATGAAGTTCAGAAGAGCCCAGAGCAATAAGAGACAAGACCTAGGAACAGCTCTCTGTGTCCCACAGGCATAAGGAAGAGGAAAGTTATCTCACAGCATCCCATCAGTAGCTGAACCGAAAGGAGAGACTGAACATCCTGCATCCCTTCAGTTTAGGGCCCCCTTTCCCATCGACCTCACTGTCTCTGTCAGAGGGCTGTGACCACTAAGTTAGGTCAGATTGAAATAAAAAGTAGAAGTAAATGGAACAGAGAGACCAAGAACATTCACAGGGCTGGATCCTTCTCCACACAGCTCTCTGCCAGGTTGGGAGCTCTCCTTAAAGTCCTGGCTACCACTATTTCTGCCTTCTTTGGAAGCAACTCCAGGGAAGCTTAAGAAGCAACTTTCTCAGTGCTGGACACCTGAATATACCAAGTCACCTTCTCAAATCAGAGGATCTAATCTCAACCAGAATCAAAAGCCTCAGAAATTCTGAACCCATGGGCTCACCCCAGCCCTCAGCAACCTCCAGACTAGACACAAACACCATGCTTCTACCACTGAGCACCAGGGACAAGCTGGGTTCCACTACCCCTACCTTATTGCTTCAGGCCCCAGCTTTGGTCATATCTGCCTGGCAGGTGTGGCTTTGCCCCCCACGAGCCCGAGCTTTGCTGACCCCTGCTCTCCTAGAGGCTTCAGGCCCTGTATTGGGGGAGAAGGCTTCCCGAGAGCACTGCCACCCTGATGTCCTTTCCCAATGGTTCTTGGGATGTCTTTGTCAAGGCTGCTCCCAGCTCCTCCTGCCTACCACCTGAAAAGGAAGCAGCAGGAAGGCCCTGACTCCAGCTGCCTGGGGAGGACAGCAGGCAGAGGCAGGAGGCCACGGTCCTGAGGTCAGGGTTTACCCCTTTACACCCTGGGTTGTAGCCTTGGATTCTCTAT